ATGTTTATTTACATATTTACCCCTTTTAAAAGTATGACCACAATTTTATGAATAGTGTTGAGACGATTATGTCCTTAAAATGTTTATTTACATATTTACCCTCATTAATGTTAAAGGTATTTACACTTTTTTTTATATGAACTCTCAAAAATAGCATATGGAAAGTTATAACCCTAAAATATTTGTTTACTTCTCTAATTAACACTACTAACAACTAAAGTTATAACATAACATCAAACTGAAAGAACTTCCGGACATGACTAGCAATTACGTGCGCATTGCTCACGTTAGCCTTCCTGGTTGGCCTGGTATCCAAAAATTCTTAGATGGGAAATATTTGGTTTTTGACCATAAACCAATTGTAATGAGGAAAACTTGTGATAACTTGTTGGCCTGATGCAAATTAGTGTTGCTGCATGTAATATAGCATGCCCCCATGCAGAAATTGGGAGGTTGGATTTCATAAGCAATGGTCTGGCAATTAATTAAAGACGTTTAATTAATGACTCTGCCATACCATTTTGTGTATGAACATGTGCTACAGGTGTTCAACATTTATCCAATAGACATGCAATAATCATTGAAAGCTTGAGAAGTAAATTCACCTGCATTATCAAGACGAATAGTCTTAATAGGTGTATCCGGAAAATGTGCCCATAATTTAATCAATTGGGAGAGTAATCTCGTAAACCCTAGGTTGTGAGTTGATAACAAGGACACATATTACCACCTAGTCAATTCATTGATTAAAACCATAAAATATCTAAATGGTCTACATGGGGGATGTATAGGCCCACAAATATCTCCTTGTATACGTTCTAGAAAACTAATTGATTCAAAATTTATTTTAGCTAGCCTTCTGAGCAAGCAGCACATGGAACATTATTAAGAAGAATTTTCTGGCTCTTCAAGAATATCCACATGAATTCTCAATTATTTTTCGCATCATTATTGAACCGGGATGGCCTAACTGGTCATGCCAAACAACAAATTAAAGTTATTAGTAAACTTCTGGTTTACTATGTCTATAGCATTGATTTTTGTGTAGTACATAAATTATACGATAAGAGGCAATAAAAGTAGGGAGCCGCCAACAAGTTTTTTAAGGAACTTGCAAACCGTTCACGATCATAAATTAATGGCAACCACAATAAGGGACAACGAAAGGCAACAACGATTGACCCATGAAGGTTACACCCCATTCATAATCCATGAGATTACTAACTCCATATGGTTCGGAACCACGAAAGAGGATTGGGGATGATGGTACGAAGTGAGTCACGGAAGTCGACTTCGCCCGTATTGGCCTCTACTCGATTCTTATTGTGAAAAGTATCCCTGCAATCTCAAAGACATGCAAAAAAAGATTCAATTTGCTCCAAACTAAATTAGGCTAAATTAATTAGTTAAATATTAATGCACACATAATTCTAAAATATTAGTGATCACTTCAATTAACCAAAGGATTAAAAAGGAATCTAAATTGGTCGTCCAAATTATCTTATTAGTCGTGATTTGCAATTACATATTACCTTTAAACGTGCAATATGGTGATCAATAATACAATAGAACAAACAATGATATTGGAAACGATTTAACTATAATAACATCGTTAGTCAAATCAGAGCATAATAATAAAGCTTTGGGTTAGTATGTATAGACATATGTACAGGAAACAAGTTAACACAAAAGGGTTAGTTTGATCACAAACAAGATATGCACAAGTAGTCAAGTAGTCACAACATGATGCATGAGTTAGCAACCTTACCATGGCTCTAATTCTCTAAGGTAACGAATTATGGTGTCCAAGAGGGTCCATGGTTAAGAGTCCGGATGCATCGCGCGGAAGCCTTACCTTAGAAGGATTGGCGCAATGGACGAGACCCCGCGAGTTAAACTTAACTCCATGGTTTGGTGAATTCACAAACTCGGATGCACCCATTATTGCACGAAGCGTTTTTAGGGTGGACGGAGCGTGAATTCCCAAGGGCTAAAACCACATGTAAAACACATATGGATTTAGAAAGGTCGAAAAAACTTAATCAGGAAGTAAAATCGTTGAGACGGTGCTAGAATCGGGCATAACGCGAAGACAGAAAGTTGGCGCAAAATCACAAGACACTGTCGTTGGTCGACAGGGACTAACGTCTGGCGACAGCCTTGTCCTGTCGTGGCATTGGTCACTGACGCCGCGCGACAGGTCTAACGCTCTATGGAAGTTTCTGTTTTCGATGTTTTTTCCGATTTTATGCAGCGTCTTTTCGACTTAGTTGTGAAAAATATTTACGGCCTTTCCTATGTGTATGCCCTATGTTTTGACGCATTACGAATGGTCTTTCCAATGCATACCTTTTTATTCTTATGCCACAATGTCAATCAAAATTACGCGCATGAATATCAAGAATCTTTCAATCTCATCCACTCATTCTAATTAATTGCCAAACAAATTGGGAATTAATTTAGAAATCCTCCTCGATGGAGTCGCCAAATTTTTGTAGGGATTTTTCACTTCGCCCTACATGTGGATCATTTTTTTTAAGCATGGCGGCGCTCCAAGGAAAAGAAGTTAGAGAAAAAGAGTCGACAACAAGTTTAGGAACTTGTAAACCGTTCACGATTGTGAAGGTTACACCCCATTCACAATCACAGAGATTGCTAACTCCATAGTGGTCGGGAACCATGACTGGATGTTCGGGGATGATGGTACGAATTTGACTTAAGAGAAGTCAAACCCACCCTAAATAGGCCTCTACTTGATTGTTATTGATATTCATGCACGCTTTTTGATCAACATACATACATCAAATTAATCCTAAACCTGTTTAATCTATGTTGGTTGATTATTAATGCACAATCAAATCTAATATTGGTGATCACTTGAATTAAAATCATATTAAGCCTAAATCAAATTATTAATCATCTTATTAGGCGTGATTCAAGTACAAGTTCCCTTTAAACCTACACAATTATCATCATAAGAACATCATCAAAATATCGTTAGTAGTAAGATCCTAGGCATGATATTAAATGGATTAATAACAATCCTAACATGTCACTAATAACAATCTCAAAGCGTTGTCGTAAGCATGATACTAAAAATCATAACAACATTCTAAACATGATTTCTACTCCAAAATCAAAGAATATTAATAAGGGTGATTGAATTACTCACTTTGATGCCTTAACCTTCTTGCTATTAAAACAATACACACGTTAGTAAACTTCAAGAAAGTTAAGTCAATAAAGTAAATAAATCAAATATGAATTGAAATATGAATTTGGGACCAAAACCTCAAAACTATCAACCTTTCATGTCAAAGTCGAAGGCAACGACGAATATGTATTGGAGTATTCGAATCTCGCAAAGGAAGTATTGTGACTGATTTAGGAGAGTATCAAGGTTGTGTTTAGGCTAAGGCTAAGAACATGGGTGTTTTGAATGATGATTAATGATAGTTGTGGCTAGGTAATTGATGGTTATTGTCCATAACCTGGAACGGGAAAACGACCTCTATTTATAAGAAAAAAAGAGAGTCTGGACTATTAGAAAAAATCAGAAGTCGAAAGGAAATAAAACACCTTTTGACGCAGCGCGACAGGGTTGTCACACCACGTTGGCTTCTGTCGCGCTGCGACACTGCTGAAGTGGCGCGTCAGTTCTGGTGTTGCGCGATGGTTTTAAAGGATATTCAAGTTGTACGTAGTTTGATTTCTAATGGAATTATGATGGTGAAATATATCCGAACATCTTTGAATTTGAACGGGATAAGGATTATCAAAAGAGAAGTTTTATTCAATCTCGAACTCGTAATCTTTATCTTTTCGGAAAGGATAAATTAGAACCTTTTAGAGGATTCTAGAATTTCCTAACTGGTTAAGGATTGGGAATATAATCATATAGGGCCTAAATAAGATATTTGGACTCCACATAACTATTTGGTTGTACTAAAGGTGGACCTAGGCTCAATTTGGGATCAGTTTAGTATTTTGGCCATAACTTATTCGTTTTAAGTTGGATTTGGGCTTATAATATATCGTTGGAAAGCTCTTTTCAAACCCCATCCATCTAAACAATAACAAGACTGGAAACATGGACCAAAATAACCAGGTTTGGACGTTTTTATAAATTAGACACGAAATGAATGATTTTAAGGACACGAAATTAATTATTTGAGGTTTAAAGACATTTTGGGTAATGTTAGGAATATGATCAAGGTTTAAGGAAACTTCGCGAGACTCTTCAAATCTTTACCGAACTTGTTAATCAAAACGTGAAAGTTCCTCATCACTGGGTTTGGTTTTTAAGGAGACATAATCAAGTGTCTACAGGCACTTAAAAAACGGTTGTTTGTGGGATGCGGGGCACTTAAAAAAAACACAGGGAGTACTAATTTCATTTCTCCATACACGGGATTTTAGACCCTTTTTGGTTGAAGGGATGTGGCTGGAACACTAGTAGAAAAAGTGAAATAGGCACCGCACTTTTCGCACCGGTTCTTGAAAACCGGTGGTAAAAGAAATGGGCGGGATTGGGAAAAAGACTTTTCGCACTGGTTCCTATTAAACCGGTGCGAAAAAGATTTTTTAAGAGAGAAAAAAAAAGGGAGAATGGGATTTTGCACCGGTTCTAACCAAACTGGTGCGAAAAATGAGTTAATCGCACCGGTTCGGTTCGAACCGGTGTGAAATCTATTGTAAAATAAAAAAAAACCTGGATATACTATTTCTTTCTCTTTCATTTCCTCGATCTTTCCCCTCTCTCATCTGATCTGCCTCTCTCTCTCCTCCATTGAAGCGTACTCGAATTTCTCCATTGAAGGGGCTTCTGAGCTTTCTCTCAGCACTTTCCTCAAACTCCTTCTCTCTCCTTCGATCTCCCTCTCCATAACCGCCACTTTCCTTTTCCTTTCTTCTCTCTTTCGATCTCCTTCTCCTTCTCTCTTTCTACAATATTGGAGGTTAGGGTTTCTGGGTCCGTATATTTTGAATCAATTCGATGTGCGTGCGTCTTCAAAAACAACAAATTCGAATCAATTTTGAACCAAAAATCAGAAATTTGAGGTTAGGGTTTCTGGGTTATTTAGCTTTGCGTTATATTTTGGTCTTTTGGTCCAATTATTCATGTTAAATGCTTTGAAATTTTGGGTTTAATTGATGTAACAATGTTTGAAATTTGTTGAAGATGGCTGGAGAAACTGATACCAACAACAATGGAGGTAACAACGCTTTTAATGAAGATAAGAAGCCTGCTCCTGAAATTGAGTTTGAGGCGAAAGAAAGGCGGTGGCGATGAGGGTGATCCCGAGATGCAGGAGATTTAGGATACCATTGCTGGTGGTAATTCTGAGGTCATATTTTTGACTTCATAGTGTTTATGTTTTTTCATCTTCTTGTATTGCAGAGTTATTAGCTATTGATAGGTTGTGGTTTGCTGCTAATTAAAAGTAATTGTCTTTGCTCTATTGAACTGTGCTTGATTCTATATTTTCCATGTACTTGGCTCTTAATTTGTGCTTTAAAATACCAATTGCCAAAGACTTATGAAGTCTAGTCTAGATTGAAATATAGTAGTTGGAGTAAAATGGAACTCGGTTTTACTTTGACAATTTAGAGATGATAGGAAGAGTTAAAATTTGCATCTGCGAATGCTAGACTTATGAATTCATAGAAAAACAGCTTACTTTTTGCAGTATGAGAAGATAAAAGGTATATTCTTGGCTGCACTTCAGTAGTTCAGTGTGTTAGCTTAGTGTGGGATCTTGGTTTTTATAAGATTGTTGCCCTCCAAAACTAGTTATGTTTGGGCAATTGTTTATGGGGTTCAAATCATGAGAGTGGTTTTTAGTCCTCATTTGAACTATTCTTCTTGTTTGTGAGATTCATGTCTTTTCTACGCAAAATTAGTATTGGTATTTCAATTTACTCTCCAACATACATTGTTGGTCCATTGTACTCCATATTCTATTGCAATAGTAGAAATTTCAATACAACACTACAAATTTAGCTCTACTTCATTCTCATACTCGAATTTCTCTCTCCTTAATTGGTTGAATTTATTAATCCTTAATTTCTACCAGCTTATTTTAGTATGATTTTTTCTTCAATTCGGTTTGATTTCTACTAATTAAGTTTTTTTCTGGATTCGAGATTAAGGATTTTTAATTGTGAGGAAAATTTGGGATAATTCGAGAAATTTTGACTAATTTTCTGTTAGCTTTGTGTGTCACGATTGAGCATAGAATTGTTACTATAAGAATCACTAATCTTTATTTCTGAGGAATCCAATTACCTGTATTCTACCCACTTGAATAATGCCCACCACCTGTTCGACAAAATTACCACTTTTGCTACTAAGCTCTGTTTTGATGATCATCGTTTTGGTTCGACCCTTGTTAATAATGTGTGTTGTTGTGATGGTTTAGTTTTTGTTTGTGACGAGAAAAGCAATATGTTGATGGTAAACCCGACAACGAGGGAGATTAAGGAGTTGCCGAGTCCGCGGTATGTTCAGATGTTCTTTATCCTTATGCTAGTTTTACTATGTATGGAATTGGGTATGCAGAATTGATCCTCTGACCTTGTAGACCATTGGGGGGGGATGCAGATTTACATGATCTATCATTCTCTACTGGATTAGGCTTGACAAATCCCTCCCTGTTCTTTCATTGTTCTTCAATTTTTGTTTTGTTTTCTGTTTTTTTTTTTTCCCGCTTATTGCCTTTATTAGATCTATGATGTCTAACATTTGAACTTGTATGACTACACTAACTATATTAGCAAGCTTAAGAATAGTTTATCTCAAAATAGCAATGCAAATACTTTAAAAGCATACTTAAGGATATCACATACATAATTGGTACTGGACAGTGGCTGCAGGGCAGCAATTAACTAAATCAACTTATTCCTCATTCTTGTTGTCCGGCGTTTATAGTCTTTTGATCAGTTTGCTTAACATTTAATTCTGTGACGATAATTATACAATCTAATTTGCTGCATTTCAATTTGGAGTTGTATGCTCATGTTGGTAGATGTTTTCTCTGACCAAGTGACTAGGAAAGAACCAAAGGAATTGATAAAACTTGTCAGATCTCTTACAGTGGACAGCAATGGAACTTTTGGTAAACTGCTTTGCATAATTTTGATCCTGATAATTGACAGCAATGTCTACGTAATTGCCTGATATAATTGCTTTTTGCTTTTTCCTGATTTATTTCCTCAAGGTGAAACTACTCCAAGTAAGCGAACCCCGGCAATTATGGAAGCCAGGAAATGGCAGCAAGAGAAAAGATCAGGCTTAAAGAAAAAGTTTAAGTAGTCAGTACCATTCCAAGTTTGGAGGAGGGGAAGTGCTGTGATGTCTGGAGGATTGCTTTATTACATGTTACTCAGACCAAATGTTGTCTTATATAATGTGTATTACTATATCTGCTATCTATATGAGCACACAACTTGTTTTAAGGCTTGTTATTATGATTTTTTTTTTCCGGCTTGTTTTAAGGCAGGATTTCCTTCCTTATATGAGTACTGTTATGCTTCTTCTTCTTTAGTCAGCTTAGCTTATACCTAATGTGACCATCTCCTCTGCAGACTGATAATGATATTGAAGATTCCGATGATGAAAGGTACCTATCATGCTTTTTGGCTATAAACCTCAGGCTTTTAAGATTACTGGATTGTTTGTTAGATGCACTTGCTCCAAATGTTTCTTTTTGTATTTTGCCTTAATTTTTTTGGTATTTGTGTGTGTGTCAATGTGCATGTATTTGTGTGCGTGTGAGAGAGGGGAAGAGAGAGAAAGAGAGTTGATGCTATATGGGTTTAGTTCCTTGCTCTTGTTGAATGAAGTTTGTTTATTTTACAGTTAAATCTTTATTATTGTAACATGTGACTTTTCCCCCTCTATTTTTATTTACAGTTAAATCTAGGACTCTTTTGGATGAAGGTCAAGTCTAAGCAATTGTGGATGAAATCAAGCAGGTCCTCACTGCTAGCTCGAGTAGAAAAAGAGAGGTCAGCGAGGGCTAAAGTAGAGGACTATGATGCTGAAGAGAGTAATTTACTTAAAGAGGAAAATGAGCAGTAAGAAAAAGAGAGCGATCAGAGAGGGCCAAATCTTAGAAGTGAGTCCCCTTGGTTGAAAACTATAATCCTTGGTGTGATCACTTAAGTGATCACCCATACAGCCTGAACAGAGTAGAAACACGGCCACAGAAGCAAAACAGGTGCCCAGCCAGCCTGAACAAGACAGAAGCACAACAACGCAGCAGAATAGAAACAGCAGCACAGCAAACAGTAGAGCAGCCTGTCAGCTTGAACACACAACAACACAGCAGCCAGCAGAGCAGCCACCAGCACAAGACCAGGACAGCTCCTGCTGGAACTCAGACCAGGAACAGGACATCAACATAGAACAGTAGCCAAACTGAAGAAAAATAACAATCACTAAAATAGTATGTTGTTCTTGAGCCCTTGCAGCCACTTACAATGTTGTCTTGTCCATTTTTAATGAAAATATGTAACTTTATATATATGTTAGTGTTTATATGTCAATTTAAGTGAAAAAAAATGCACAAAAAAAAAAAAAAAAAAAATTTTTGAGGCATTTTTGCACCAGTTTTGGAACAAAACCGGTGCTAAAAGTTTTTTTTTTTTAAATTTTTTTGGCCACCTTTTGCACCGGTTTAAATCAAGAACCGGTGCTAAACGTTTTTCTTTTAATTTTTTGGAGACTTTTCGCACCGGTTCACATCAAGAACCGGTGCGAAAAATAAGTTTTTGCACCGGTTTTGAACTGGTGCGAAAAGTCTTGGTATTTGGCATCTCTCAAATCAGAACCGGTTCAAAACCGGTGCGAAATGGGGGTTTTGAATCGGTGCTGATTAGCAATTTTCGCCTAGTGGAAGAAAAGAAAGGAAATGGTTTTAATATTGGAAAAATGGAAACTAAGGCCTTGCTTAGTTCAACTTATATTTTCTTATTTAAGAAAAAATAAGTTTAGATCAGATCACAAAAAATACGTTCATATTAGATTGGATCACAAAAAATAAGTTTTATTTAGATCATCGTTTTATGTGTGGTTTTTTATCGCTAAAAAATCAATCAATTTAGATCATAGATCAGATCAGATAAGACTAGATCAGCAAAAATAAGGTGAACTAAACAAGCCTTAATAATCTCATTTTTGTCATTTCTGTTCAAAACAATCCTACCTTTTCGAAATCTGAAAACAATCCCACCTTTAACCCCTACCTGCTTAAAATGATCCCTTGACTGATTTGAGAAGTTGGTAACCGATTTTAGGAGGTGAATTGCCACGTGTCACCTTCTGATTGGTTCTATTTTTCAAAAATAATTTTTTAAAAAAATTAATAGTATAAACCAGTTTTTTTTTATAATTTAAACCAGAAAAAAAAAATTATCACCTTTCCTAGCCTACCTGAACCAGTCCCCCGCCATGCCCACCCCCTTCCCTGTTGGCCGGAGACAGCCTCACCCGTTTCCCCGCCAGTCTAACCAGCCCCACCCCTTCCCCGCCAGCCTGAATTAATTTCACCTCCTTGCTTTTCCTTTTCCTTGTCCAATTATTCTCCACTAGTGACGTGTGAGTTTTCTCTCCCCCATTTAAATAGCCTAACGGTCGTGACAAAAAGTAGCAACCATATAACATCCCATAGTCAATAACAATAATGGTGAAGGTTAGGCGAGATTAGGGTTTGGGTGGGATTTGGTTGGGTTGCTAGCTCAGATGGGGTAAGGTCGTAGGGTCAGCTGGGGTTCAGTGGTTAGGTGGTGGTGGGTTGATAGTGGTGTTTCCATTAAAAGGGTTAGGAAGGTGGGAGGTAGGAAAGAGATAGAATTTAAAAAAATAATAATGATAATAATAACCTGTTAAATAGGTTACATGTGGGAAAAAAAATTATTCCCTCTAGGTTTCTCATGGGGAGGGTTTTTTTGGTTCTCTCTAGGGTTTCTCCCTTGTGAGGGTTTTCCTAGCCTCCATTGGTAGGTATTTTTTTTAAGGTTTTCCTTCTCCCTTCTCCCTTTTCTCTCCATCTCTACCATCTCTTTTCCTCTTGGTCTCAGTTGTGAATCTTTGTAGGGGCATCCACTAGTTTCCTTACCAGTGGTAACCCCAGAAACATTTTAATTGCATTCAATAAATAGGTCGCATCCTTAGGATGATGATTTTTCTCTTGAGTTTATTTTCTTTTTCTATTTGTATGGCTATAGACACCTGATTGTGTCTCCCCAAAAACCAAACCCAGTGATGAGTATCTTTCACGTTTTGATTAACGAGTTTGGTAACGAGTTGAAGAGTCTCGTGAAGTTTCCTTAAACCTTGACCATATTTATAACCTTTCTTAAAATGTTTTAACCCAAAATCATTCATTATGTGTCTTTTAATCCAAAATCATTCATTTCATGTCCTTAAAATCATTCATTTCGTGTCCAACTTATAAAAACATCTAAACCAGATTATTTTGGTCCATAATCCTGGTCCAATTATTGCTTAGTTGAATGGATCTTGAAAAGAGCTTTCCAACGATATATTATAAGCCCAAATCCGACTTATAATGAATAAGTTATGGCCAAAATACTATACCAAGCCCAAAACGAGTCTAGGTCCACCTTATGTACGACCCAGTGATCATGTGAGGGTCTAAATACCTTATTTCCAATCCTAAACCAATTAGGAGCTTCTAGAATCATCTAAAAGGTTCTAATCTATCCTTTTCGAAAAGATAAAGATCAAAGAGTTTGAGATTGAATAAAACTTCTCTTTGATAATCCTAATCCCGGTCTTAACTGAATTTTGTGTCTCATAATTTTTATCCAAATCTTAGATGGTTGGATAGCCCTTGAAATTATCTTTCCAATAATATATCATAATCCCAATTCTGATAAGAAACGGAAAAGATATGACTAAAATACCAAACTTATCCAAAACTGACATTATTCCACTATTTCGATCATATCTTTTATTCTATAAAAGATATCAACCTTATTATAATTAGGTTGGAAATTAAACTTCCACAGCTTTCCAACGACATATTATTTATCTTATTCCGATTTCTGGATCAAAAGTTAAGATAAAAACCAAAACCGCAAAATTGCAGGATTATCGCGCCGCGATAGACCTGTCGCGTTACGACAAAGCTGTCGCGCCGCGATAGAACCTGTTTTATTCTGATTCGGATCCTGACTCTTTTCTAATCCTTCGACCCTTTTTTTTCCTTATAAATAAAGGTCATTTCACCCCGTTTTCAATCATCAACAAGTTTGATCAATCACCAACAATCATCATCAAATCCCTTCTCTAATACTTTCTCTCTCTTTCTTGATTCTTTTCTTAGCCTAGCCTAAACACGTTATAACACACATCTTTGATACTTTCACTAATCAAACACCATACCTCCATCACGAGTTTCAAATACTACTAGCCAATCTCGAAGTTGCCTTCGACCTCGACGTGAAAGGTTGATAGTTGTGAGGGTTTGGTCCTAAATCTATATTTCAATTCTTATTTGATTTATTTGGTTTATTTGATTTACTAACGTGTGTATTATTTTGATAGAAATCAAGATAGTAATGATGCTTAGAATATTATCTTAATTACTAGAAATCAAGATAATAATTCGATTACTTAATTATTCTTTTAATATAGAAATCGTGCTTAGAATATTATCTTAATCCCTAGTTCATGTTAGGATGTTTATTCTGATTTCTAGTATCATGTTAGGATGTTGATTTTAATTTCTAGATCATGTTTAGGGTGTAATTAATATTTCTAATACCATGTTAATTTCTAGTATCATGTTTAGAATAATGCTTCGATTATGATTTTTGTTGGTGACATGCTAGGGTTTCTTATTAATCCATTTAGTATCATGCCTAGGATCTTGCTAATTGTGGTTTGTTATTATGATGATGATTGTTGTGTCAATTATTATGTTGCTTGATTGATTGTTATTACTTGATCACGCCCCTTCTTGCAGGTTTAAAGGGAATTTGTACTTGAAATCACGCTTAATAAGATAATTAATAATTTTGATTTAGGCTAATATGATTTTAATTCAAGTGATCACCAATATTAGATTTATTTTTACATTAATAATCAACCAACGTAGATTAAATATGCTTAGGATTAACTTGATGTATGTATGTTGATCGGAAAGCGCACATAAATATCATAAGAATTAAGTAGAGGCCGATTTAGGGTGGGTTCAATCCCTTTAGGCTGGATTCGTACCATTATCCCCGAATATCCAGTCATGGTTCCGGACCACTATGGAGTTAGTGATCTCCGTGATCGTGAATGGGGTGTAACCTTCACACCCGTAAACGGTTTACAAGCTCCTAAAACTTTTTGGCGACTCTTTTATCTCTAACTTCCTTCCTCTTGGGCGCCACCTTGCTTAAAGGCATGATCACAGTGGGGCTCAAAGTTGAGTTTGAAAAATTCTCACAACGGCGAAAATTGAAGATCTAGGGTTTCATAATCTCTAAAAGAATCTAGAGGATTACATGGGTATTTTCACTCAAACGACTACGCATTTCAAGCCGAATCAGTGCAAACTCACAGATTGTATTGCTTCAGATGAAGTTTTTTTATTAAGTCGATTGTTGATCAAATCTACGATATATTTAGTTTTAAGATGTTATATACTTGTGTTGGAATTCTTGATTTCTTAGGAATTATATGTAAGTGTCGTTTGACTATATTTAATTAATGAAATCCCTTTTCTTCTCGTCAAAAAAGGAAAAAAAAGGGAGGGGGTTATAGGTAAAAAGGATCATTTTGAGCATATGGGGGGTTAAAAGTGGGATTGTTTCTAGATTTCAAAAAGGTGGGATTGTTTTGAGCAGAAGTGGCAAAGGTGGGCTTATTAGTTTTCATTTTTCCTTTAATATATTCCCATGTTTGGTTTAATGAATGACATGAGAATTTAAAGGAAAGGAAGGAAAGTGAAAGGAAAGTCTCTTTATAAATTTTCAGCTTTCTTTCATCCTAAAATTGGAGGAATTTGACTGAAAAGAGAAAAATAAAAGCATATTTCGTATCTCCTTTCTCTTCCCTTCATTAACTTTCATTAACCAAACATTGACAAATAAAATCTCCTTCTTTTCTCTTCTCTTCCTTTGTTTAATTTCCCCTCCCTTCATTTCTCATCTTTTCCTTTACTAATAATGAATCAAACAAAGCCAATGGTAGAAAATACTCCCTCCGTCCCTTAATGATAATCCCTTTCGGTGAAATTTCACGGGAATTAAGAAACTTAAATAAGTAGTAAAATTACATTGGAAATGTAAATTTTCATGGGGTATGCAAAAAAATAGAAAGAGAAAGTAATAAAAGTACTATATGAAAATGCAAAATTTACATGGGAAAGCTAAATTTGCACAAATATTGTTGAGAATTGAAGGGAATTTTGGTAAAAATAAAATTAATATTAATGGTTTTTGGAAAAGCTTGGAGTGAACATTTTGGGACTAAAATTTGGCCAAAAGGGACTATCATTAAGGGATTAAGGGAGTATCATTTTATGATGGAAGGGGTTGG